ACCAAAAAAAAAAGGTGCAGAAGTTACAGGGTTAATATGTTGTGGGGTTGTTAACCAATGTCATAAAACAACATGTGTACTACTGTTTCATGAAAAACTATTTGTTCTGTAAGCCTTCACCTGAAGTACAACAAAATATTTAAAAAAAAAAAGAAGAAGAAGATGAAAACCAGGTCAAAAAGGCGGCTGCCACAATCAAAGTTCTAAGAGCCTCCGAACAAGCCTTCTGGTTTCCACTCTTGCTCCTACTCAGCAGCCAGACTGATCCATTTACAACAGATCAGGAGATGCTCAAAGGCCACACATCTCTAAAGGCTTCCTTCTACACATAAAAAGTCCTTACCTAGACTACAAGGCTTCACCAGGTCTGCCCCAGCTGGTTCTCGCCACCTAGCTCCATCACAATGCCCCCCCGCTGTTCCCCTCACACACTGACCTCACCTCAGGATCTCCGCATACTTTACTCCCTCTGGCTGGAATGCTCCTCCACTAAGGAGGAGCACAGCTACCTTCAACCCTTTATTCAGGTCTTTTTTCAGATGCTGTCACATTAGAGGCCTTTCTTGATAACCTTCAGGAACCCTGGTGGCGCAGTGGTTAAGTGCTCACCTGCTAACCGAAAGGCTGGAGGTTCGAACCTACCAGCCACTCAGTGGGAGACATATGTGGCAGTCTGCTTTCATAAAGATTACAGCCTTGGGAACCCTATGGGGGCTGCCGTTCTACTCTGTCCTAAAGGGCTACTATGAGTTGGAATCCACTCAACAGCCAACTGAGTTTGGTTTTGATAACCTTATCGAAAGATAACATTCCCAGTCAATCTCCTCTTACCCAATTTTAGCTTTACGGCATTTAATTCCCTGACATTATATGATGTATTTATTGGGTGTGTATCTCTCTCTTCCATTAAGGTACAAGCTTAATGAAGATAAAGACTTTATTTTGTTTACTGCATGATCCCCAGAGGTGCTTAATAAATGCATGTTGTATCAAGAATCTAAGTAATAAAGTCAAATAATAATAGCAATTTCCAACGAAGAAGAAAGACAGATTTGGATACTGACTAGTTTGCTGTATGCTGTTCTGCCACAGTACAGATTAACAGAATTTCATGAACTGTTCTGGGGTTCTAAAAACCATTAATAATGGTAGTTTTACAGAGAAATACATCTGTGCTATCCCAGATGTATAATTCTGGTTTCCAGCTATACAAAGGAAAGAACTGGACACCAGTTACACAAACCCTTATCACTGACGTCTCTCCTGCCCAGCTGCCCAGCCCTCAGGATTGGGGCAAAGACAAGAAGCACCATGAATGTGCCGCCCTGGAGCCAAAGCAATCAGCTGCTCAACTGGTGGTCAGCAAAAGGGAAGCCCGTGAGGCAGTAACGCTGTCTACCACCCAGAGCACCAGAGAGAAGCCAGCACCCTACTCCAGCTGTCCTGTGGTGGCCATGGCAGCCATCAGGCACTCATACACTAGGAATTCCTATTTGTGACTTTAATTAAAAAAGAAGTAACTATTCTTCAAGCATATTACTTGTTTAAGATTATGGGTGTGAAAATGTCTCTTGGAACTTGGAATAAATTAGAGAAATGGACAAAAATGCAAATCACAGATGAAATCTGACTGGGGGCTGGAAACCAAGGGCCGTCTCTAACAATCACTTCCCTGTTGGACCATCCCTCTGCTGCTTTATTTACTGGTGCCCTCTTCTCCACTTTGCTCTCCCCTTTCTTGCTACCCCTACCTGAGGCCAGAAATAGTAAGCTAGGTAAGGTTTTAAAAAAAACTAACACAGTTCCGTGCTACTGCGTCTGATTACCCACAAAAATTTCAGTCAACAGACCAAATGAAATACTACGCTCTCCCCTAACATTCTAGAATGTTCCTTCCTTACTTCACTACTCAAGTAAGAAAAGGATCTGGTACACGAAGGTGGTATTTGAACATCAGAGAAAAAAAAAATCAAAGGAAAAAAAATCAGCGTCTTCAATTAGAAAGCATTTCTAGCAAGTTATCTTGAAAATCTGGGGAGGAGCTTAAAAAAAATGTGGATTCATCTAAAAATTATAAGTTAAAAAAGTTTTTTTTACTTTTCTAACCATTAAGAAAATGTAAGTTTTTTTTTTCCTTTCCTTAAATACTGATGTGTAATTTTCTGACTTAGATTATCTAGGTAGAAGTATGCAAATATGAGAAGACAGGAAAATCTGACTTGACAAATAACATACCAAAAGGTTCTATGAACTGATAAAGTTTCTCGCCAACTGATATCGCTTCTGTATACTGTCGAAGATGATAAAGAATGACCGCCTGATTGTAATACAACATGCTGTTTTCAACGTCATCTAGTCCATCCATTTCTTCAACAGCTGAGTGGACCTATGAAACAATCAGCAGGGACTATGTGTTATACAACAGTAAGAAAATAAAAGGTAACAGTGAAAACTTAGATGAATCAACAGGAACATAGAGCAAAATTTCTTAGGCTGAAATTTCCCACACTTTCAACAGAATCTCTACATTTTAATTACTCTCGCATACTAAAAATCATTTCATTCATCTGTTCCATGATAAAATTCTGTTAAAGAAAACACTTTAGGGGGATTTTATTCAGCACCTAGCACAAGGCAAGGTGATTCTCTTCCTGGCCACTGTGAAGACATAGTCCTGGTTTTACCTGACAATGAGGCTTGGTCCTACTTTCCAGCCCCGAGTTGTGAAAGACTACACGGGGAATGGACAGAACTTACAATGAACTTTCCTACAAAAACTTCATGTGGAACGTATAGCTTGTTTACATTTTTGTAAAAACTAAAGTAAAATTTAAACAACAGCTAACTACTTACTATGTGCCAGGCTTGCTACATTAAACCTTTTACAGAGACCATGTCATTTAATCCTCACCATACCTCAAAGTGGAGCCCTGGTGGAGCAGTGGTTAACAGCTCGGCTGCTAACCAAAAGGTCAGCAGTCCAAATCCACCAGCCACTCCTTGGAAACCCTATGGATCAGTTCTACTCTGTCCTACAGGGTCACTATGAGTCAGAATCAACTCGACGGCAACAGGTATACCTCAAGGTGTTGGTGAAGAATATAGAATATCCCATGGACTACGAGAAGAACAAACAAATCTGTCTTGGAAGAAGTACAGCCAGAATGCTCCTCAGAAGCGAGGATGGCGAGACTCCATCTCACATACTTTGGACATATTATCAGGAGGGACCAGTCCCTGGAGAAGGACATCATGCTTGGTAAAGTACAGGGCCAGGGAAAAAGAGGAAGACCCTCAACAAGATGGATCGACACAGTGGCTGCAACAATGGGCTCAGACATAGCAATGATTGTGAGGGTGGCACGGGACTGGACAGTGTTTTATTCTGTTGTACGTACGGTCGCTGTGAGTCAGAACTGACTAGATGGCACCTAACAACAACAAATACCTCAAGGACATAGATAATATTATACCTCTCATTTTATAAATAAGGAAGCCAGCACAGAGAGCTTAAGTATCTTGCCGAAGACCATACCTCTAGGAACTGTATCCTCCGATTTTCCTATAATGTTCATGTTTTGTTCCCATAATAAAAACAGAAGTTTATCTTTTAAGTAACAACAAAATACATATGTCACATATAGTGATTACAGTAGGCTTTTATGGGCTTCACTAGCAACCTAATATACACAACTGATACCGGAAGGAAAAAACTCGGAATACTTCGCATACGGAAGTTAATGACTATCTGTATGCCCCTTCTGTAAGTTGTAGCACGAGGCTTTTAAATTTTAACCAAGTCACACAACCATTTCGTAGTTCCACATAACACATAAAGTGGAATTCCCTCTGTATTAAAACCGGCTTTTCCTTGCCTTAAGGAAGACTGCGATAAATTACTGTGTAATGTTAAATAATTAATTCTAAGATCCGTATTTCCCAAAATTAAACAACAAGACCATGACATACATGGATTTAACAACCTTGGTTTGGAAACCACCAAGGAACCCGAAGGTTCATGATATACCATGATTTGTAATCTGGTTTCTGCAGACTGCAGTCACCCATGTGATGAGCTGGACAGGCAGGTTCAAACGTCAGCAAGTGGCCCTAGCTGACCGACAGCTTGTAGCTCTCAATTAGTGTGGGCGTTCTATATAATCTTCACTTGTCAAATCTTCAAGTGAGTAAAAATAGTTTCTTTAAACAAAGAAAGAAGACTCACTCAATTCCCAAAGAAAGACAACTCTTCTTGACAGTTACATGACAGAGCGAGAATGAGCTAAAAACCAAAACCAAACCCGCTGCCGTTGAGTCGATTCCGACTCAGCGACCCTAAAGGACAGAGTATAACTGCCCCACAGGGTTTCTAAGGAGCGCCTGGTGGATTCAAACTGCCGACCTTTTGGTTAGCAGCCGTAGTTCTTAACCACTATGCCACCAAGGTTTCCAAGAATGAGCTAAGAGAGGGTTAATTCTTAGCCAGAAAATAGAGGGGCTTTGAATAAATTAAGGAGCTTTAGACCAAGCAGTGGTTGAACTTACGACATGAGTAAGTTGACAACATTTCTACGATTCACCAAATAATCCAGGAATGGCTCCAGTCAGAACAAAAACTACTCATTAAATAAAATGCCAGTGAAAGTCGAAATGGCTGAAAAGGTGTGTCACTGTGCCCTGGACATGTGACCTTGAACAGAAGTATGACTTAGAGAAAGTCACAAGACGCAAGAATAAACACTTCTGGGAAACTCAAGAGCTGAAGGCACTTGTGGGGCTATTGAACCAACCTTTAGTAACAGTAAAGGCTGGTGAAAGGATTTTAAAAACAAAGTTTTCCTGGCTTAACAGGAAGTTTACAGGAACTTATTTTAGAAAAAGCTGTAAGGCTGAACTTGTGCTCAAAGACCAAACCAATCTGTCCTCCAGAAAATGTCTACTGGGTCATAGCGCACAAATCCTAGACCTCAGCAAGAGTTTTTTTTTGATTCTGGGGCTCCAGGTTCTCTTGGCTAATAATGTTATAGCAATGATAAAACATCATGATGCGTAAGTTTACAAAGACCAAGGTGGTTACAAGCACAGGCTCAAGAGACAGAAGGCCTGTTTCAAATTCTGTTCCTCTCCTTACTAAAAAAACTAGCTGTGTAAAATTATTAGACTTTCTAAGCCTCGTTTCTAAAACTGAGATAATAGTAACCTTACGGTGAGGATTACATGAGATAAGGCATAAAAACACTTAAATGATCCACGGCATCAAGTAAGCACTCACTGTCCATTGTTAGGTGCTGTCAAGTCACTTCTGACTCATAGCTCCCTGTGTACAACAGCACAAAACACTGCCTGATCCTGCACCATCCTCACAGTCACTGCCATGTCTGACCCCACTGTTGCAGCCACTGTGTCAATCCATCTCATGCAGGGTCTTTCCCTTTTTCGCTGACCCTGTACTTTACCAAGCATGATGTCCTTCTCCAGGGACAGGTTCCTCCTGACAACACGTCCAAAGTACGTGAAATGAAGTCTCACCATCCTCACTTCTAAGGTGCACTCTGGCTGTACTTCTTCCAAGACAGATTTGTTCAGTCTTCTGGCAGTCCATGGTATATTCAATATTCTTTGTCAATAGAACAATTCAAAGGCATCAATTCTTCTTCGGTCTTCCTTAATCATTGTCCAGCTTTCGCATGCATACCATGGCTTGGGTTACTCAATAAATGTTGGCTATTATTCTCATTTTCATTGAAGAATTTTAACAGGGTTTTAAAATTACTTTCTTCCTGCATAGAATTATGAAGAGCCTGAAGGGGTCACTTACTTCTCAACTATACAAGGTTTTAGGGTAATGCTACAGTGGTACTCAGGAATGTAGGACAGGGGCTCAGAAAGGTTTCAAGATCCTTTCTATCAAGAAGCAGTAATTAAAGGCGCAGGACCTAGAGTCAAATAGATCTGTGTCTATGTAGCTTTTACTGCTTAAAAGTTGTGTGTTTCTGGACAATTTATACAAGCTCCCTGTGCTTCCGCTGTCCCACCTGTACAATGAAAAGAATTACAGCAGCTACTCCATAGGGTTGCTGGGAAGAGTAAGTGAGATGATGCATACGACGTGCTTAGCACAGACTCCTGTCACCCAGTAAGCACTAGATGACTGCTAGCGGATCCTATCATCATCAGCATCATCATTAGCCTTCCGGAACATCAAAAGTCTAGCCCTGGGACAGGAGAAATGTTGCTGTTATCAGCAGAACACCGACAAATGTAAGCCCCAAACCGTATATTAATCAGAATATCTTCTATTTAATTATCTCTTGATCCAAAGTTCTGAAACAACTTGACATTATTATTATTAATCAGATCTCTGCACCTACAGATAAGATTATTTCTCAGCAGCTAAGTGTCTTTATTCATTTCTACTTTAATTCTTCCGCAAAACTCTGAAGCTCATCCAAATGTGGCCTATTAGTCTACTCTGTTCAAATTAATAAAACCTGATAGAAAATAAAATCACATGACATATAACCTTTCATTTCCTGGAATAATAATTTTATACAAATAAAATCAATACCAAGAAATGTTTCAGATACACTACAAATTATGCTATCAATGTCGGGTGAGGAGTCACATTTATTTTCCTGAACTGTTTTTATTTCACAAATTGAACAACATCACAGTATTTTTATAGCAATATTCATTCGTGTATCACCTGATTCTTCAGCTGGTTGAGTGTTTGTCTCAAATTGTCTGTTGTTGTTTGGTTACTTTTAAAAAACTCAGCTACTGTTGTATTCAAAATTATTTTATAATCATCTTTGTTTATATCTTGTAGGCAGGCCAGGTGTTGCAGACAGGTGTCATAATTTCCAGCCTTAAAAAAAACACACACAAACTAAATTACATAACAGCTTTAAGAACAATTCATTTATTTCCAAATATATTTCCATTATCTTTAGTTTAAAAACTCTTTAAAAAAAAGATACAGTTTCCGTATACCAAATGAAGTCACTATATGAAGCACTATTCAGAGCAACTAAGAAATTACGGGTATTTGTTTCCTAAGAAGCAAACTCTGACACTGATATGCATACCCCGTGAGGTACAATAACCGAGGCTAGACAAATAAGGCAACATTACTTGTAATTTTAATTTCTAGTAAATGTACTTTGAATACCCAACTATCAAGTTCTTCTATTTACATTATGTAACATGATAATCAAATAAGGTTTTCTTCTACATCCTGTCATGTCAGAAAAAAAGTTTTAACAATAAACTTTTGGGATTCCATTTTAAAGTACATTCGAAGAGAAAAAAATTGACCCGAGTAGTGAAATGAAGGCTGACCCATATGTTTACAAATCTAAATTTAAAAGACTTAAAAAAAAAAGAAAAACCCTGCAAGAGTTAAAACATGTTTATGAAAATACAAAAAACGGAAACAGGTCAAACCACTCCCACTCCTTTCACTATATTTAGTTAAAAGTCTAAGACAGTTTTTATTTTAAAGGTAAACCTACTTCTCCCTAAACTCAACTCTAGAATTATTACAGAACAAAACTTATACATTTAAAAGTTCATGGTGAAGAGTCATACCTGACAGACTCCTAAACACGGAGCAGATGAGGAGAAACCACCTACTCACCGTGAAGGCTTGAAAAGCACTGCCTGATAACTCCTTCTCTTGATCAGTGATCCCAGAGGACTGACCTGTCCCTTCAGGTTTCTCTGCTCCCTGCTCTGTAAACACACAAGTTTTACAGTTCTGTAGAAATAAAAGTTGTGAGGTGAATTTGTCCCTAGTTGTCTTAACTGCCTTCTTCCTAATGAAGTTGAAAGAGTTCTCTCTCAACTGTGACAGCTAGTGAGTAAGAATGAAGCTGCTACCCAGGAAACGCCCTTCCCTCAGCCATGGTCCAGCATGATGAAGACCCACCCTCGTTTATGTAAGGACTACAGCTTTGGTGATCAGGACTTTTGGGCTGAGAATGCTCTGATCTCCTAAAAATCTTGTATCTGCAACCCAGCCATGTGCAAGGAACTATGCCAGGCCCCAGAGATTTGAGGAGATCATAAATGCACCTACTATGCCTTCAAGAAATTTATAATCTAGCTGGAATATAATAACCCACTGCCATCAAGTCAATTCTGACTCATAGCGACCCTATAGGACAGAGCAGAACTGTCCCATGAGGTTTCCAAGGCTGTAATCTTTACGGAAGCCGACTGCCACATCTTTCTCCCACGGAGCGGCTGGTGGGTTAGAACCGCTGACCTGTGGGTTAAGCAGCTAGGTGCGCAATCACTGCGCCACCAGTGTTCCTCAGGAATATAACAACATTTAACAATTTGAAAACAACATCGATAACGGCTCACAGGTAATTCCCAAGCAAAGAATAAATACCTTCATAGGCTTCGAAACCCAAAAGCAAAGATTAACACATTCAAAAAGTTGTTTCAAATGTACAGAAACAAAAGTTTATCAGCGGTTATCAGGGGCTGGGGAGAGGGGGAAATCGGGAGTTACTGCTTAAGGGATACCACCTTTCTATTTTTGGGGGCCATGAAAAACTTTTGGGGATAGTGGTGATGGCTACATGCTTCTCTTAAGATTAGGAACATTCTACTACATAATCAAAATAATCACAATAAAAAATTAACAATAATTCAATAATAACTAACAAATAGTCCATACTCAATTTTTCCTCATTGTTCTAAGAAACACCTTATACCGTAGCTTTATTTCTTTTTCCCAATCCAGGAAACAATCAAGATGCACACATTTCCCTTCTTGGGTATCTTGCTTTAGTTTATCTTACTCCAGAATAGTTTCCCATTTTTCTTTGTTTATCAGGTCCCTAACTTTTTTTGAAAGTCGATTCCGACTCATAGTGACACTATGGGACAGAGTAGAATTGCCCCATAGGGCTTCCAAGGCTGTCATCTTTCAGAAACAGACTGCCACATCTTTCTCTCATGGAGACTCTGAAACTTGCTCTTGAACGTCAAGTAGCTAAAGCAAAAGGAAGAAATGATGAAGTAAAAGAACTGAACAGAAGATTTCAAAGGGCGGCTCGAGAAGACAAAGTATTATAATGATATGTGCAAAGAGCTGGAGATAGAAAATCAAAAGGGAAGAACATGCTCAGCATTTCTCAAGCTGAAAGAACTGAAGGAAAAATTCAAGCCTCGAGTGGCAATAGCAAAGGATCCTATGGGGGAAAATATTAAACGACACAGGAAGCATCAAAAGAAGATGGAAGGAATGCACAGAGTCATTATACCAGAAAGAACTGGTCGACGTTCAACCGTTTCAAGAGGTAGCATATGATCAGGAACCGCTGGTAATGAAGGAAGAAGTTCAAGCTGCACTAAAGGCACTGGCAAAAAACAAGGCTCCAGGAATTCACAGAGTATCAGTTGAGATGTTTCAACAAATAGATGCAGCACTGAAGTGCTCACTCGTCTATGCCAAGAAATTTGGAAGACAGCTACCTGGCCAACTGACTGGAAGAGATCCATATTTACGCCTATTTCAAAGAAAAGTGATCCAACTGAATGCAGAAATTATTGAATAATATCATTAACACCACACGCAAGTAAAATTTTGGTAAAGATCATTCAAAAGCGGCTGCAACAGTATTTTGACAGGGAACTGCCAGAAATTCAGGCAGGATTCAGAAGAGGACATGGAACCAGGGATATGAGTGCTGATGTCAGATGGATCCTGACAGCAAAGAATACCAGAAAGATGTTTACCTGTGTTTTGTTGCCTATGCAAAGGCATTCGACTGTGTGGATCATAACAAATTATGGATAACATTGCGAAGAATGGGAATTTCGGAACACTTAATTAATTGTGTTCATAAGGAACCTGTACGTAGATCAGGAGGCAGCTGTTGGGACAGAACAAGGGGATACTGTGTGGTTTAAAGTCAGGAAAGGTGTGCGTCAGTGCTGTATCCTTTCATTGTACCTATTCAATCTGTATGCTGAGCAAATAATCAGAAAAGCTGGACTATATGAAGAACGGGGCATCAGGATTGGAGGAAGACTCATTAGCAACCTGCATTACGCAGAAGACACAACCTTGCTTGCTGAAAGTGAAGAAGACTTGAGGTACTTACTTTACTGATGAAGATCAAAGACCACAGCCTTCAGTATGTATTACACTTCAACATAAAGAAAATAAAAATCCTCAAAATTGGACCAATAAGCAACATCATGATAAAAGGAGAAAAGAATGAAGTTGTCAAAGATTTCATTTTACTTGTATCCACAATCAACAGCCATGGAAGCAGCAGCCAGGAAATCAAAAGATGCATTGCATCGGGCAAATCTGCTGTGAAAGACCTCTTTAAAGTGTTGAAAAACAAAGCTATCACCTTGAAGACTAAGGTGTGCCTGACTCAAGCCATGGTATTTTCAATTACATTATATGCATGCGAAAGTTGGGCAATGAATAAGGGAGACTGAAGAAGAATTGATGCCTCTGAATTGCGGTGTTGGCGAAGAATACTAAATATACCATGGACTGCCAAAAGAATGAACGTATCTGTCTTGGAAGAAGTACAACCAGAATGCTCCTTAGAAGCAAGGATGGTGAGACTACATCTTACATACTTTGGATGTGCTGTCAGAAAAGATCAGTCCCCGGAGAAGGACATCATGCTTGGTAAAGTACAGGGTCAGCAAAAAAGAGGAAGACCCTCAAGGAAATGGATTGACACAGTGGCTGCAACAATGTGCTCAAGCATAACAATGACTGTGAGCATGGTGCAGGACCAGGCAGGGTTTCGTTCTGCAGTACACAGGGTTGCTATGAGTTGGAACCAACTCAACAGCACCTAACAACAACAACAACAAGCTGGTTATCTTGTAGAATATCCCACATTCTGGGTTTCCTCATGACCACACTCAGTTCAGCATTTCTGGAAAGAATACTAAATAGGTGATGTGAACCCAGGATTATTTGTCATTTTTAATGTTACTATTTTTCTTTTTCTGTTAAAAACCTGTGTTTTGTTTTAAAAAGGTGCCTTTTATATTTCAACATCTCTCATAGAGTATTCTGTTTCTCGATTCCACTTACCAGTAGATATTCCCTGCATCATTAATTAAAAGACCAACGGAAGTGAACATTGCAAAAATGTGATACCATGGGCTGCAAACAGACACGTAAAAGTAATGGCATGAGAGACTATCGCCCGGAGGTACTCTTTAAATTTGGAACTCAAACCACTCCCAGAAGTCATTTGTCAGCCAAATGACAGACTGGCCCATGAAGTAAATATCACCCATGAGTACCATGCTCCTCAAAATAATCATCTAGACAAAACCAAATGGTTAACAATTACCCTAGACAAAAGATGAGAAGGTTAGGGGGGACAGGGAAGCTAGATTAATGGGAATAGAACCATCAAAATGGAAATAATGAGAATACAGAGATATTATGAAGAATGTAACCAATGTCACTAGACAATATGTACAATAATTATTAAATGAGAACCTAATTTCCTGTGTACTTTCACCAAAGACACAAAATAAATAAAAGAGTAATGTCATCATCTGTGACTTAAAGAACACTTCAAAGTCTCATGATACTTGGATTTCTTATTTATATGGGGACCCCGCCCCTCACAATGAACTGATGCTTCAGCCTGAAATCCAAAGCCCTCCAATGCTTGAAGCTAAATCCTCTAGGGCTGCTTTAGCAAAAATGGTCTCAATGTCCCAATATACATGTTAAATTTTTATTACAAAACCAATAAACACATATAAAGCACAAAGAGTCTCTACAATCTTTACTGCAAATAACTGTTAACAGTCTGATGTCTTTGTACTTTCATCCCACTTTCTGGGATTTTTGCTCTGACCCTTCTTTTACATTTGCAAACATCTAGGTGCACCATAACAGTAAGGATCAACTACTTTAATAATGTGTTAAAATGGGACACAGGATTACAGGACCCCAGAAAGCACAGGAGGGATTTAGGTTGAAGCTCAACTCGCAACTTATCACATTAAAAAATTATCTTCCCTCTATAATAAGTATGGAGCCCTGGTGGCGCAGTGGTTAAGCGGCTGGCTGCTAACCAAAAGGCTGGCAGTTCAAATCCACTAGCCACTCCTTGGAAACCCTGTGGGACAGTTCTAACTGTCCTACAGGGTTGCTGTGAGTCAGAATCGACTCGACCGCAATGGGTTTGGTTTTTTTGGTGTCCATTTAAACCAAATGCCAAAAATTCTTAGTCTGCCATTAAGTTATCTTTATAGCTTTTTCCAAAACATGCTCTCCCTAGATCAGATGACATTCTTTAATGGGACCTTCTGGGCCTGTGAGAGAATGACCCATAAGTATAGGCAGAGGGACACATCTAACAATTCACTGAGGAGTTGAGGAGTTTAAGCTTCTACTGTCCACAAAAAGCAAGCGGCGCATATGGCCACTGCTATCGTCATCCCCTAGGGACTGCAAAACTCTCCCCAAATTCTCCAGGAAAGGAAAGAAGCCAGGTTTTAAGATAAATAAATAAGCTGGACTTAAACCTGACAAGAAAATCTGAAATTCCTATCTCTACACCAATGTCAAAGAACTAAGCTCAATAAATAACCTTTTACATGTTAACCAACCATTATTTTATCTAAATTCTTTTACTTTAGGATGAAAGTTTACTCTTTTTTTTTTAAAATACACTACAGTGGGATTACTAATTTTCTTTCTGAACTTTCTAAATTTTCTACGATGAACAAGTATTTCTTCTATGATCGGTTTTTAAAATGTTTTTAAAAGTCATTATTTACAACTGTTAATTTCTTACCAGTTAGAGTCTGCACATAATTCCACAACATTTCTTTATTCGTCCAAAAGTAGTCTCCATTGCCAATTGAAAGGGAGTATGATGAGGGGTCATTCAAAGGCTTGACTTTCCTTCTACTCTGACCTAACGAACATGGCTGCCCTAGGCGAACAGAGCTCTTTGATTCACAAATCTTGACACTCTTCAAGCCAACAGGCTTCATTTCTAACCAAACAAATGCCCTTAGGTTTGAACTAAGTAGAAAAGAAACACAGTGCTTTTTCAAAACTAAAAACCAGTTAACTGAAAGCAGAGACACATTCCAATGTAGAACGTTAACAATTCAAATCTGATTGGAAGATGAGCTTTCAAGCAACCTACACTTGTCAATACATAGCTCCAATGATGTTCAAGAAAAGATAATTTTTCAAAGAAAAAAGGAATGCATTAAGATAGAAGGAAATCTGCTATGTTTGCAAAATACTGACATGCCTTTGTGGAGAAATGTTTTGGCAAGGATGCCATTTCAAAGAAAAGTAATCCAGGCTCAACAAAGTCACCATATAGCTGAAGTTCACATACCTCACATGCATTTCTTCTAGCACCTAAACAACAAGTATACCTGATTTATCAAAAGCCCACACATAGATGGCTGACCTCTACATAACTTAGAGAAGTAACGAGTGACCAATGGAGCTATCTTCCAAAAAGCAACAAATATTCCATAAGACACGTTTCCTTTTCACTGTAGGTTGGACATGAGGAGCTGAGAAACGGAGATCACACACTGCAGAGCCCAAACAATAAGCCATTCATAACCAGTTATGCTACAGATGTGAACATCTTGTCTAGTGCTTCAGAAAGAAAGAAAATGAAATCAAATCAAGAATACCAGCATGCTCTGGGGAAGACAACCAAAGCACACACACTGCCACTGCCAGTGGGTATTTTTATTTTCATATCTGAGAGCAGTTTTTATGCATTTAAAAAAATGAGATTTACTCTAGCTTTAAACATTAATTTTAGATTTATTGAAGTTATAAATTAATAAAGCCTAGATTTTTACATTTTTTACTTTTACATTCAACTTAGACATCTTATTACTCTATTTAAAGGTCTAGGAAACCTACATTGATTTTAAAGGGCTATAATGAATATTTGATCTCATTTACAGAGTTAAGCTCTTTCAAACAAAGTTTTAACTACTTTAGAATCTTTAATACGTTCAATTTTAGGTATAACTGCTTGACTTAAGAAAACAAACATTTTCTGAGAACTTAAATATATATTAACTTATAAATCTAAAAAACAAAACATATAGAGTAACTCTTAAGTACTCTTTGATGTGCTGTCAATAATACAAATATAGTAAGGACTCAACTTAAATTCACAAGTATAATCAATTACTCATTCAATTACACATTTTTAATCGTAATAACAAGATTAGTATGTTGCTCTAAATTCTTAAACGTTAAAAACACTTAAAACATCAAATATAAGAGGTCTAGTGCAAGATGGTGTGGGCAAAATGTAACATCTTAATGACAGGTAAACTTTGGTTTTCTAGTCACCTGCACTCAACCCCCTCCCTGGTCTGGCGTGGCCATCTTAAAATCACAGTGCCCCACATTCCCAGAGAAATAGTCTAGTCTCTGGCTTTAGATAGAGCAGAGCCAACTTTGTTGTGTCTTTCTAACCTGTCTGGGGACTGCCTGAAGGACTAAAGCAAGGTGGTCATCTTGGTTTGACATGTCTGGGCTGAGGGCCAGTAGGCAAAGCCCAAAGGCTGTAGTTGCCTGTAGCTAAAGAGTGCAATTAAGGTGCACAATATACACCTAAAGACTGGAAGGAGGAGCCAGGGAAGGTTTCTCTTGGAAAAGAAGACTTTTAAAAACACCTTGTGCGTGGAGGAATTAAGCAAGTCACATGCATACCCAGGGCACGTAATCAGAAATTACCTTAGAACACCCTACACTTCCACCTTGGGCTCACCTCTAGGCTCAATAAAACCTGGCTAAGTGCTGAAGAAGGGCCTTAGCACAGAACCAATTTGCAAACATAAAGAGAGGTTTTCCCCCTACCCCCACCCTGGGCATTCAAGGAAATCTGTCAAAAAACTAGCTGAACACGGTTAAGGAACAGAGACTTCGGGGTCTACGTATGTAGAGAAAGGCAGCCTTTGCAAAAACAGTTAGAGGAAGTCTCTAAATAAATGGACTACTACAGTTTCAATGATTTAAAACAAACAACAAAAACCCCAACAACCTCAGGGAAGGGGAAGAATCTAACTTCCGGAGTTACCACATTATAATAGTCAAATGTCCTGGTTTCAACAGAAAATCACAAGGCATTCAACGAAATAGGAAAGCATGACTCCTTCAAAAGAATAAAGTAACAGAACTCATCCCTGGGGAAGCCCAGATGATGAACTTTAAAACAACAGTATTAAATATACTCAAAAAGTTTAAAAAAACAAAAAACTAAAGGAAATCAGAAAAATGGTGTGTGAGTAAAATGAGAATAGAGAATATCAAGAAAGACAGACATACTGGAGCTGAAAAGAACAATAACCTAAATGAAAAATCCACTGGAGGGGTTCAACAGCAGATTTGATCTGGCAGAAGAATCAGTGAACATGAAGATAGGACAATTACTATCAAGCCAGAGGAGCAAAAAGAAAAAAGAATGAACAAAAAGACAAACAACCCAATTAAAAAATGGGCAAAGGGCTTGAATAGATATGTCACCAAAAAAGATATACAAATGGCCAACAAGCATATAAAAAGATGCTCAACATTATTAGTCATTAAAACCAAGCCATCAAATCGATTCCGACTCATCACAACCCTGTAGGACAGACTAGAACTGCCCTATACGGTTTCCAAGGAGCAGCTGGTAGATTCAAACTGATGACTTTTGGTAGCAGCTGAGCTCTTCACCATTGTGGAAATACATATTGATGCATTTAGAAATGAAGTCCCAGAATGCCAATAACTTATTTCATACTGATTCAATGTTAAAAGTTATAGCTAGAGATAGAGAAAGCACATATGGCAAAATGTAACAACTGTTGAACTAGGTGGTGGGTATATGGACGTTCATCTTATTTTTCATTTACTGGATGTTTGAAATCTTCTGTAATAAAAAAGTTTTAAAAAATACCAAATATGGACAAATTTATAGTTACTGAATCAATGTCCTTCAAATGGTGTAGTCTCTCACAGCCCAGAATCCTAGGTAGGTGTTCAAGTCCTTATCTACAAACCCCACCTATGAAGCCTTCACTTGCTTGGGTTTTGCATTTATTTGGCATAAATGTACTTTTCAAGATCTGAAAAATTTGAATTTGAGAGAAAATGAAGGAGAAAAAACACAGAATTAAATAAATATCTATTAGGATCATTCAACTCTTCCAGCTATTAAAATTATACTCAACTACCAGGGCTCCTTAGAGAAATGGCTAATTCTAGCACTGGGGCGCAGCAGGCGAGAGATAAGTCAGGAATATTTTAAGGTGGAAAAAAAAAAAAAAATCAGTCAGCAGCTTGACCGGGTGATTAAAATTATCATCATCAACGATGGTAGATGGATGTATATGCTTCTAGATGTGACACCTTACCTGACACAACATCCCTTATGTAGTAGTCTACCTGGGAATACATAGATCTCTTTTTTCATTGTAGTGAAAATATACACAACAAAACACTCACCAATTCCAACAATCTACATGTATATGTATATTTCAGTAACACTGATCATAATTCTTCATGTTGCGTGACCATTATCACTATCCTTTTCTGAATTATTCTACCACCATTTAACATAAACTCAATGCCTCCTAAGCAAAAACTTAGTAGTTTCCAGGGGTGAGAGGGACGGTGGAAAGAGGAGTCATTGCGTAGGGGCACTGAGTTTCTGTTAAGGGTGATGAAAAAAAGTGGAAATGGATAAAGCTGACAGCTGTACAACATGATGAACATAATTAACATCAATGAACTATCCATGCAAAAAATGGTGAGATAGCAAATGTTTTGTTATATATATTTTTACCACAATTAAAAAAAAAAAAAAGTAGGATGAAGGGAAAAAAAACCAAAGCACAGAACTGTACAACACAAACAGTGAACTCCAATGTAAACTATGGACTTTAATTAATAATAATGTATCAATATTGGTTCATCAGTTCTAACCAATGTATCAGACTCATGCAAGCTGTTAATAATAAGAGAAGTTGTGTGCTGGGGGAAGAGGGCATATGGGAATTCTCCATACTTTCTGCTCAATTTTTCTGTAAACCTAAAACTTCTCTAAAAAATAAGTGTATTAAAACAAACAAAAACCAAGCCAATATCTACATTACTGACCTGGGAATATGTTCACAACAATATATATTAACTGAAAAAAGCAAATGGCAGGACAGTATTGCTTAGTCTATTTCTTCATCTGCGTATATACATTTTTAAGTCAACGTGCGTTTGGGCAGCCATAGACAAAGTCTGAAGGGCACACAGACTCAGTACTGGTTACCTGGAGAGTGGGACTGGGAAAGGGCAATGGAGGACTTGCACTTTTTACCTTGTACGCTTAATAATAATGGGTGCTTTAAATAACATAAAAATAGCCTTGGCTCAAAATCTTCCCATTTGTTTGTCCTTCCTACCATTTTTCTGGACATCCTGGCTCAAAAATTGGAAGCTAACTTTAAGTACTCTTCTCTTGATTCCACATTAGTCATATGCTCCCACCTGTCCTTCCTTTATAATGCTATCAATCTTTTCCTACTAAACCTACCACTACCATCTCCATGGTCTAAACCCTCAAATAATTTCAAGCCTAGGTTTTTACTGTCTTTCCAATAACTCTAAAAGTAAAGTCAAATAAATCACCCTAAAACACTGTTGGTATTTTCTTAGTTAAAAATGACACTGGTTTTATATAAGATCACAACCCACATGTGGACACCTCTCCCTTTAGGATTTGGGTGAAATACTACAACTCAGGGTGTTGGAACTGCTGGCTGACCAGTCACTGAGAAGCCACGCAACTCAGCAGCACAGTAAAGCAGCTCCCCGGGGGTGAGCCTTGACCAACTGGAAACAGGAAATGCAAAGAAGCTGGGCACACAAATCACCCCTTTCTCTCTACTATGAACTATTCAGAAGTATAGTTTCTCCTTGCCATCCTTCCAGAAAAACTCCACATGTGTGTGACCTGCTATGTCTCTTTGCAACTCAAGGTAAAGCAGTAAAGTACCTGGGCTAAGACATACACCTTACCCCAATTCATCCTCATAAGCTACAGTCCTGTCAGGTAAACAAATTAAAAAGCTATTAGGAGTTGTTGTATTGGCGAAATGTTTTGGTGTGTACATTTTCATAACAATTAAAAAAAAAACTATTATGAAGAAATTAAAAAGATAAAACTCTTAACCACTGCGCCACCGAGCTAGGATGAGCCCTGGTGGCGCAGTAGTTAAGCACTCGGCTGCTAACCATAAGGTTGGCAGTTCGAACCCACCAGCTGCTCCACCGGAAAAAGATGTGGCAGTCTGCTTCCTTTAAGATTTACAGCCTTGGAAACCCTATGAGGCAGTTCTACGCTGTCTTATAGGGTTGCTATGAATCGGAACTGACTCAACAGCAATGGGTTAGCTAGGATGAACCGAGGCTGTCTGACTTCAAAGCCCATGCTACTAATTCTTCATCATTTCTCACCAGGCCCAGCTAAAACATAAATCAGATCACATCACGCTCCTGCTGAAAACTCCCAGGGGCTTCCCATTCTTCAGAAGGAATTGGAACTTCTTCCACGGCCTACGAGGCCGGACATGAGCAGGCCTCTGCCATAACTCTGACTTGATTTCCTGCATGCTCCCTTTGCTCACAATGCTCTAAATATGTACTGAGTATCCACCATATGCCAGGTGTTGTTGTAGGCACTGGAGCTGTATCATGACTAACACAGACAAAAATT